CCCAGCTCTGTTTCGGTTGTTTCATATGCTTGAGTCGCTCTTCCACAGTGAGTGCTCGTTAGTTCCAGTAGGAGACAGACCACCAAGATACTCGTGCAGCGCTTCGTTGCTCTGGCTCTCCAATAAGTTTCTGAGTTGTCTATTGGCTCTATTCAGGCGAGTTTTATCATCCGGATGGTGGGTGGTTTGCCAAATCTTTCTTAGTCTTCGTTTCTCTTTAACGAGATTACGTACATTTGCTGGCCCTTTGTAGCTGGTTTGGATAGATGACAGTTTAATTAACATTAAAAGCATTAACATTAATAGAATTTTATGGTATTGACAATTATAATTATGATAAGATTAATATTGAATCATTTATGAATGCTTAAAACTTTTCCATAAAATGACATAGAAAGTTTATTTAACATTAAAAGCAAATGTATAAATACAGTTGACTTTTTTTTTGATTTGTGATATTTATATTATTGTTTTGAGTTTATTATTTTGTAAATTTCTGTTTTAATAAATATTATTATTATTTATACGTAAAAATTGATAATTAGAATTACGATAAGGTTAATATTGAATCATTTATTAATGCTTATCGATAAAACTAACAAAAAAATGTATTTTTTTAAATAAATAGAAAATACTTATATTCTTATTAAATAAACTTGATTAGTCTTGATCAGTCAATTCCATTTTCTCTTTATTTAATTAAATCTTGCAATGTATAAGAGATAAATAATTATATTTTAGTGAATGATTCTGATTCATCTAAAATCTTTAGTAAAAAGTTGAAATTATGATGAAAAATATTTAAATCAATTATAACTTCAACAAAATGTACTGTGCAACCTCGCATAACGAGCAAAACTAATTGTATCAAAAATTTCTCGCTTAACGAACAACTTTTTGCACAACGAGTTATTTATTATACATATTTTTTCTTGAGTATTTTTTTGATGTGGAATGCATTATCATGACATGCATCATCTTTTATTAATTTCTGTGAAAAAAATTTTTCGCTTAACGAGTGTTTCGCGTTTAAATTTGAGAATCAAATTTTATATTAAGTTTTCTTACAAATAATGATGTGCTAATAAATCTAAATTCTATATTAGGAATAATGTTCATGATAAAAACGGTTTAATTATCGTTAACTATTACAATATTTGTAATGTAAAAATATGATGATATTTGAGTTCAAAATCTGTATTACTTTATGCGATTTTTATAGTTCAAATTAGAATAGCTTTTTTTTATTATTTGATATATAATGTTTTAATTACCTTTGACTTTTTCGAAATCTGTAACATCTACCTTCAAGAAGAGCGTCTTGTTAGCACCGAATTCCTTTTCCAATGAAGCTTCAAATTCCTCAGCCCGAGCATCATTTATATCTAACAATAGAACTCCCTAAAAAATAGTTTTAAAGTATTAATTTTGCTTATTTTTCTTTTGCATGTAATTCACTAACTTTGGCTTTGTTTGACAGCAACGATTTGACGAGTTCTCTTCCAATCCCGCCAAGCGCACCTGTGACAATCGAAACTGTACCTTCTACGTCGAACATTGTTGAGGAAGTAGCGAAAATTCGTTACCACGTCTATTTATATACAATACATAAATCGATTTTAAAGAAATAAATACACTAATCTCATAATGATGGATGGTTTTAATGATAGTCAACATCGAAAGAAAGTAAAAAATAAACCATTATCTTTATAGACTTATTACAAATATATACAAAGTATAATTATTCCTTTTTTTGTAGACATAAACCACATATGTACAAATAACTCAATTTTTGCCTAATAATTTATCAAAAACTATACTATAAACCAATGAATCTCACCTACGGTACACCAAAGTTGTTCCTAGAATTCCGCGGCACACCAAAAGTTAAAATACGTGTATATAGATATTAAATTTCAAATTTCACAATAAATTTTAATTTTTTATTTTGTAACTATATATACATAATAACATACATAAGTGACTAATTAATTTGATACCTGCGTTTTATATTTCGTGCCACCCAAAGTTCTTGGTTTAATTAAAACAAAACTTGAAAAACTTTGCTCATATAGTGGTCGAAAATGGAAGTAGTTTAGGATGACTTTGTCGGAAATGCGAGGATATTCTTTCTTAACGGAAATCTAAAAAAACATCTAATGGAACTTCGGCGTGAAGTTTTAACATCCCGTCATGACTTAATTGTATAAATACCTCTCGAATTTGCAGAGACAGTTCTTCCGTAGATTTTATTGCATGGATTGCAAAAGGATTTCGAAGCTAATTATATTTTTCTGTATTAATAAAATAAAAATGGTGATCAAATTTCCGCTGAAGCATACTTAAATCGTATGTTTTCAATCTTGCGACGGTTGGTTCTTTAGTACATTTCTAAACATCCTTTTTGCAACTCTTCATGCCAAAGTTCGATATTATTTTTGACCCCCTGTAATTTGTCGGAGCACGTCAAATTATTGCCATTCCGAATTTACATTTTTTTTATTAAGTTCATACGGATGCTCGAATATATCAGGCACAAGTTAGGCTATCCAGTAATCATCATCGAGGTGCTGGTATAGTTTGAGCATATTTTGATCTAAAAGAAGCTCACGCCAACAAACTTCAGTATAAAATTTTAAGGATTCATATTCCGCTCCCATTTCTGCACAGAGTATTCCAAATATTCGCGATTTTATTGCACTTGATTTATGATTTGAATGCATTAATTTATCATGTTCATAATAAAAATGGTGATCAAATTTTCGCTGAAGCATACTTAAATCGTATGTTTTCGACGGTTGGTTTTTGGTACATTTCTAAACATCCTTTTTGCAACTCTTTTTGCCAAAGTTCGATATTATTTTTGACCTCCTGTAATTTGTCGGAGCACGTCAATTTATTCCCATTCCGAATTTACATTTTTTTTTTATTACGTTCATACAGATGCTCGAATATATCAGGCACAAGTTTGGCTATCCAGTAATCATCATCGAGGTGCTGTTATAGTTTGAGCATATTTTGATCTAAAAGAAGCTCACGCCAACAAACTTCAGTATAAAATTTTAAGGATTCATATTCCGCTCCCATTTCTGCACAGAGTATTCCAAATATTCGCGATTTTAGGGCACTTGATTTATGATTTGAATGCATTAATTTATCATGTTCATAAGTTTCTCTGGCAAATGTTTTTCACTTAAAAAAAAATCCATATTTAAACGGGTATAAAACTAAATATGAATAACACGAAAAACGCTAACGATATACAATTTAGCAACAATACGTGGTGGCAATACTAATACGTAACAGCGTGAATTCAAAGCACGTATTCTGCGTTATTGTGTTTTTAAAGACGACCGTTGAAAAATAATTTAGTTAGAATATTCTTATTTGACCGCGGCACATCTGTATCGGCTCAACAGGTTGCGGAGCACTGCTATAGACCAGAGTTTCTCAATTTATGGGTTATGAGCCAGTGTTGAACAGAGCACGAGATGAGAGCTGTCACCTTGCATCAAACTGTCAAAATGATTATGCTATAAATAATTGGGCTATAGTACAACTATAAACAAATATCTAGGAAAGCTCAGAAAAATAGTTGAGAAATGCATAGAGAAATGCATAGAGCCTTAAATATAGAAGTTATGTTTAACACTAAACCTCCTGACATTTCATATATACTTATTCTTACCGTGACAGGTCATTATTTTTTTTTTAATATTTTGCAGCCATACAATCCCTTTCATAATATGTAGGTTAGAATAAAACCTAGAACACCTATATTGCTGTAATTTATATTTAAAATAATATTAGTTTTTTTTTTAAATACTTAAAATGTACATAAACCTTATTTCAATTATATTTATTGATTCTGGTAATAAATAATAAATCTATGAAATATCAAAAAATATATAAATTTCTACTTTGTTATTATTTAATTAAATTTCTTTCTGTCCGTATATTTTATTAAGAGACATGTTTCAACAAAATCGGCAATGTTTCTGATTTGTAGTCAAACTCGAAGGCAGGTTCACTGTTCTTGCTAATCCAAATAGAACCATTGCTTCCCTCTTTCAAAACCTTGATCAAAGCGTCGCCAACGATTTCAGTTCTGAAATATTATTAAATCATCATCATCATCTCATCTTCATATTGATTTGCTCACTGTTGAATGGCGTGATCTGTATCCTTCATAAACTGTTGGTAGTATTCTGGCACACCTTTAAAAATTTCGGTATCCGTTCCACCTGGACAGAGACCCATGACCTTTACTTGCGTATTCTGGTAATGAACATTCGATCCCAAAGCCTGAGTGTATGCTACCACTCCGTGTTTGGATGCACAATAATCGGGGAGTATATGGAATGGATATAAACCACCAACCGAACCTATATTAATTATGACACCCTCGTTGCCCTTCCTATATTTCGGAAGATAATCGAAGAAAGCCAAATTTGATATTTGAATTAACGCCAGCTGAAAATTTAAATAGTTGAAATAGAATCAAATTATTGTGAAAAACTCAAATTGTTAAAATAAAATAATTGAAATATGATACAAGAAAACATAAAAAAATAATTTTGTGTTAATCATTTTATGTATTAAATGTATTCAATTTATTTACATTCAATACATATCAGATTTATTTTGATGACCATCTCGATATTTCCAATAATTCCTGCGTTGTTCACTACAATATCTAGATTTCCAAAATGGTCCACACACTTTTTAAATGCACCTGAAAGCAAGTAAAAAAAATTACATTAAATCATATGAATGTCATAAAACATTTCCATGAAATTACCTAGATAGAAAGTTTATTTAATATACATAGTAAATATGTATTAAATTGGCATTATAAATAAATATTATTTAAATAAAGTATAGATTAATATTCGTTAATTATTAACAATTAATAAAATTTTATTTTATTGACAATTATAATTACAATAAGATATTGAATAATTTATTAAAATAAACTTGATTAGTCTATCAGTCAATTTTATTTTCTCTTTAAAATTGGCCGATAAACTAATAAAGTTTAATTAAATCTTGCAGTGTATAAGAAATAAATAATTATATTTTATAATTTTTCTTGAGTATTTTTTTGACATGTCTTATACATTCATTTTTATGGAAAAATTGTTTCGCTTAACGAGTGTTTCGCGTTACTAATAAATCTTCTATATTAAGTTTTAACGGACTCGCATAACGAACGAAACAAATTGTATCAAAAATGACTCGTTTAAAGAGCAAATTTTTGCATAAAGGGTGAATTATTATACATCATTTTCTTAAGTATTTCTTACATTAATTTTTATGGAAAAATTGTTTCGTGTTTTTTCTATTAAGTTTTCTTACAAAAAAATGATGTAACAATAAATCTAAATTTTATATTAGGAGTAATGTTGATGATAAAATTGGTTTAATTATCGTTAACTTTTACAATGTTTTTAATGTAAAAATAAAATAAAATTTGACTTCAAATTTAATAGATTATTTTTATGCGATTTTGATAGTTTCAATTATAATAGTTTCTTTATTATTTGATATATAATGTTTTAATTACCTTTGACATTTTCTAAATCTGTTACATCTACCTTCAAGAAGAGCGTCTTGTTAGCACCGAATTCTTTTTCCAAGGAAGCCTGAAATTCCGCAGCCTGAGCATCATTAAGATCTAACAATGCAACTCCCTAAAAAAATATTTTAAAGTAATAATTTGCTTATTTTTGCATGTAATCCACTAACTTTGGCTTTGTTCGAGAGCAACGACCTGACGAGTTCTCTTCCAATCCCGCCAAGCGCACCTGTAACAATCGAGACTGTACCTTCTACGTCAAACATCGTTGCGAAACTAGCGAAAATTCATTAGCACATCTATTTTTGTATGCGACAGTTCGGCGACGGACAAGTCAGTGACAGTCAACTGGGCACGTGCCAACTCGGCGACAGTCAAGTCATGTAGATAAATCAACGAAAACAAATACATTAATTTATATTTTAATTTAGTTTTTATGTTATATTACGTTTTATACCCAATAACTTGTTGTTATTAATATAATAATAATTATAAGTGAGTTTCTTAAAAATATTTTTTTGATTATCCGTCGCCGAGTTGGTAGAGCTGACCGTCGCCGACTTGTCCGTCACCAAGCTGTCACATTTGATTGGCTGTTTCATATAATAAACCTAATCAGTTCAGTACTATTTTTTGCATAGTTCCAAATATTGCTGTCCTTGTATAGTTTAAGCTGTCGTGTCCCAGGGATGGAATTATGGACACAGTGGAATATTGTCTGGTGTTGTCTTTGTGGAGTCCCAGTAGTTGGGAATTAAATAATTGGGAAAATAATAATTCAATTAGTTTAAAACAAGTTTATTATAATTGGTACTCTTGGGGTCCCTTTCCAAATCAATGTAGTTACTTCGATAGATTAACTAAGACTCTATCTGTCTGAAGGTTTTACTGAGACTAATTCTAAATAGTTATTCTACTTACAAAGTTAATTCTTATAATACGGGATGGGAGTTGTGATTGGGAGTAGGGTTTGTTTATATTGATGAAAAAGCGTTCCCACGGGAATCGGCCTTGGTGGTTTTGTTTATTATAAGACCGGGACAAATTCCTATGCATTTGTTTATATGAAAAAGATGATCGATTGCGATTGTACATGTAACGATATTTGTGTGTTTATAATAAGGACTTGAATTCGGTATAAAGGTATAGGAGCATCGATGGGAATGTTTACGCTTTGTTTATATTAAAGTATATCGAACTGGAATCACGGTAGAGATTTCTTTATGCTGATGCTTATGTTTATATAATAATGCGACTAAGAGACGCCGTGGATGTCTCTAGTTCGTTAATACACTATATTAATAATAACAATTACAATAATAATTGGACATAACAAAGCATAGTTTTCCTGGAATTTTTATTTTTATTATCGTATATTAAATAATAGAGTGGCGGAACAACCGAACCCTGCAATGTATTATCTATAGGGGGCCAAATAAAAAAATATTTGAGGCCCTCAAAGAATAAAACTCACTTATGTTTAGGGTCTACGACTTCTTTAAACTATTCCTCCGAGAAGGGATACACCATCGCCTCATCAACTTTTGTAACTGTTGTTTAGTGCTATATGATTTCTCTATTTTAAATCAAGAAGGCCTCAAATAAAAATGTGCGTAATGCCATCAAATTTACTAGTTAAAAACAATCCCGAGTGACAAAGATTTGAAGTTATCTTAATCTCACGATGATGAAGATCATAATAAATAAGAGCTAAATTATTTATTTAAGGATAGTCAACATCCAAAGAAATTGAACAAATATTATCTTTTTACGAATGTACAAAGTACAAGTATTCCTTTTTTGTGGACACAGACTACTTATGTACAATTTTTGCGAAATAATTTGTCAAGTACTATATTATAGACCAGCGTTCCTCAATTTGTGGTTTGAAAGTCAATGTTTGGTAGGTCACCTGCGACAGCTATCACCTTCCATCAAACCGTCAAAATGATTATTCTATAAATAATTGGGTTGCAATATAACTATTAATAAAGATCTAGGATAGTGCTACGTTTAACACTTGACATTTCATATATACTTATTTTTACCGTGACAGGTCATTTTTTTTAAATATTTTGTAGCGCTTTCATAATATGTAGTTTAGCATAAAACCTAGAACACTTATATCGCTTTAATTTATATTTAAAATAAAATTGTTTTTTAATTTTTTGCCTTCCAAAAAAATTCAAATGTGCATAAACTTTATTTTGATTATATTTATTTATTCTGGTAATAAATATATAAATTTCTACTTTGTTATTATTATTATTATTATTACCGAACTCTTTCTGTCCGTACATTCTTTTAAGAAACTTGTTTCCACAAAATCGGCAATGTTTCTGACTTGTAGTCGAACTCGAAGGCAGGTTTGTCGTTCTTGCTAACCCAAATAGAACCATTGTTTCCCTTTTTCAAAACCTTGATCAAACTCTCGCCTATGATTTCAGGTCTGAAAGATTATTAAATTCTTATCATCATCGTATCTTCTTATGTTATTGCTTACGATTGAATAGTGAACTTGATGTCGTTCATAAACTGTTGGTAGTATTCATGCATACCTTTCCAAATATCGGTATCTGTTCCTCCGGGACACAGAGCCATGACCTTTACTTGCGTATTCTGGTAATGGGCATTCGATCCCAAAGCCTGAGTGTATGCAACTACTCCGTGCTTGGATGCAGAATAATCGGGAAGCACATAGTATGGATACAAACCAGCAATCGAAGCTATATTAATTATAACACCCTCCTTGCCCTTTTTATACTTTGGAAGGAAATCGAAGAAAGCTAAATTTGATATTTGAATTGTCGCCAGCTGAAAATTAAAATAGTTGAAACAAAATCAAATAAACAATAAAATATTATGTTATAAATTTAAATTTTCACATTTACTTACCAGATTTATTTTGATGACCATCTCGATTTTTCCAATAATTCCGGCGTTGTTCACAACAATATCCAAATTTCCGAAATGATCGACACACTTTTGAAATGCATCTGAACGTAATTAAAACAAAAAAGAATGCAATATCATAAAACTATTCCATGAAATGATATGAACAATTTATTTTACATTAAAAGCAAATATGTAAAAACGTAAAAAAATATTTATTAATATGTGTTAATTATGGAGCAAATAATGCGGTCAGTAGGCCTTCGTATATTGTTATACTATCATTTTTGTTTTTGTGTATTAATTATTGATAATTAGTAATATTTTACGATAATAATTACAAGATAGATACATACATTTTTTTTTTAATATATAAGAAATACCTTAATTTACATAATATAAACATGTCTGATTTATGTGTCAACCAATTATATTCAATTTTGTTTTATATTTATAGCTTGTAGTGTAAACTAAATTCAGTACAAAGTTTTTAGATATATTTATATACAGAATAATTTAAAAAACAATTATAAATAATAATATTGAGAATAAAAATAATAACTTGCATTTATGTATAGCATTCAAATATGTAACATATTCTGTAAATAGTTGAAATTGCGATGAAGAACATTGTAACATCAATATGTTGTTCTTTAAAAAGAAACGCTGTCTCTCAACCTTTTTGCTACACGACCTAATATGTTTTTTAGTTGTATTGCAACCCAATTGCTTATAGATTAAAATTTTGCAATAAGTTTTTTTACGAATTATGATGAAAAATAAAGGCAAACAAGATATTTTGTCTGCACACAAATTAAATCTATAGAAAGAAAATAAAAATCATAACTATTTCTAATGTTGCAATTTCTATAATATTTTGATAAACATTTGGAAAATTTTATAAATAATAATGCAACAATTATCAGTTTAGTTCGCATTCGGGGGCATATTAATTATACCAGGGCCGGATCCAAATAGTGCGAGGCCCGATTGATTTTTTTTACAAGGCCCCTCAAACTTTAAATAACAAAATTAATTTGCAGTTAGAATTTACATATCTGAGCATATATTTTAAATATTTATTTAAAACAAAATCCAAAATCTAATTATAAAAATCAAAAGTGTTGAACCATAAAGTAGACAAATTTCTACATTAAAAAAGCTGTATAAAATATAAAAGCAATGAATATAACTGTGCTGCGGCGTCCCTTCAAGCGCTCAATTTAGCGCAATCGCTCCAATCGGCTCAAATACGGTTCTCAATTGTACGTATACTAACTTCTAATTCTAGTAATTCTCTAATAATTTTGATATTTGATATTTAATTATAGAAAAATGCTTGTATGTTAATTTGACAGTGAATTTATAATACTTTCTCTTATTATTTGATAATTTAATGTATATTTTAAGTTTTTTTTATTAAAAAAATAATGTTTACCTTTGACTTTTTCGAAATCTGTTACGTCTACTTTCAAGAAGAGCGTCTTGTTAGGACCGAATTCCTTTTCGAGTGAAGCCTGAAATTCATCAGCCTGAGCATCGTTAATATCTAACAATGCAACTCCCTTAAAAAAAATTAAAATGTTAATTTGCTTAATTTTCTGCTCGTACTCAACTAACTTTGACGTTGTTTGAGAGCAACGATCTGACGAGAACTCTTCCAATCCCGCCAAGCGCACCTGTGACAATCGCGACTGTACCTTTTACGTCAAACATTATTGCGGATCTAACAGAAATGTTATGCCACATCTATTTATCTCGAATTCATACATCTATTTGATTGATAACCCCAATGTTTGTATACTTTAAAATATTGCTTACTTTTCCTTGATTTTTTTCCTCAAACATATAATAAAATTTTCCTCGGATATTTATGGCGAGCCAACACCCGCCAAGAATTTGATCCAGAAAATATTATCTTTATAGCACAAATATAATATAACTTATCTATATGTACAACTATTAGTTTTATGTATGTATATATTATTTATGTACAAATAATTCAATTTTGGGTAAAAACTTTAATTTGTAACACTAAAAATCACAATATTTGCCAAATTATTTCAATTTCTCCAAATACTAGTAATTCGCAAAACGAGCAAAGCAAATTGTAACGAAAATGACTCATTTAAAGAGCAATGTTTCGCATAACGAGTGACGAGGAGAAAAGAAGTCCCGAATTGTGTGCCTGCTACATAATTTTCCAAACTTGCGTGCAGACATATTTTATATGATTTTTTTTTGTACAAAGTTTAAAAGCTCTTACAAAAATATTCCTGAAGAAAAAACCACCAGAAGACAGCAATAAGAGAATAAAAAAAAAGAATTAGGTATTTGTCATAAATAATAAACTAATTATTTCCATTATTTTTGTTTTCTGCAAATTAAATTTGAATTTCAAAAGAAAATATGAAAATAATTCACGCTCATTATTAAGGAGTATATAATTTTCTTGGAATAAACTTAATAAATAATATTGTTTTAGTATTTTTTTCGGCATGTGTAAAACACATTAATTTATATGGTAAAAATTGATTTGCTTAACGAGTATATCGCATTACGTGTAAGATTCTGGAACGAATTATATTCGTTAAGCTAGGTTTCACTGTACATGTTGTCTTGTCCCGGGATGGAATATCTTTGGACACTATGAAATAATATGTAGTTTTGTCAATGTGTAGACCTAGTGGGGTTTTATGCTAGATCAAGTATGACCTATCCGCAGACCAATTAAAGTATTCAGTTTTCTATATTTTGTATTTTGATATTCATAAATTACAAAAATACTTTAATTTTTAAATAGTTGAAGAAAGTCACAAAATTAATTAAATAATTCGATACCAGATTCTCACAGAAAATTGTATTTGAGAAAATATTCAACATATTCTTAACTCCATTTAATATATAAGGTATTACATAAGGTGGAATCAGCTCATCCAAATTTACAAAAGGAACTAATAGAATTGCAATCAAGTTTGAAGGAAATAAGCTTGATTTTTATCAGAAATATATACTCTAAGATAAATTTCTAAAATGTGCATTACAGAAGCTAGTTCTTTGTTTTATTTTTTTTTATATTTGTTTTGGTCCTCTAAAGTTTAGAGTCTAAATGATTTGGATTGGGCATCCTTCTTCTAGATAGAAGTCGGTGTAGAAAGTAATATTTATGTAACACTTAAATGACTTTTTCTGACGAGGAGGGGAAACCATACATAGAGACCACGGGTAGAGTCGTTGCTAACAATCATTGTTTTCTGTTCAAGAGTTATACTAGAAATAATACGAGTCTAGGACTAGAACTAACTTATAATTATATAAGTGTTGTCTTATATATGTGGGTGACCTGGCAGTAGTGGTGGTAGCAAAGACCGAAGAGGAACTGACTGAAAAGGCAAACAAGGCCACATGCAACATACAAAATTGGATGTCAAAGAGAGGTCTGACACTTGCGCCAGAAAAAACAGAACGCCTGGACTCGGCGCCTAATCCCACAAATAGAGCCTTGGTTAAGCAGAAAGCATGGTGAAACAACATTTCACCTAAGCCAGGCGCTGTCTGGCCATGGATGCTTTGGCAAGTACTGGTACTGCGCGGAGAACGATAGCCCTGAGCACACGCTATTTAGGTGCTGCAGATGGGTTGGAAGGAAGCACAGAGCGGAGTCAGAATTGGGAGTTCTGCTAGAGCCAGAAAATATTATCGGTGAAATGCTGAGGAGTGTGGATAGCTGGAATGTTGTAGCGGCGTACATAACAGAGGTGCTGCTAAGCAAGAAAGAAGACGAGCGGAGGCTGCAGAGGGCCTACGAGTATAGTGGCAGTGGAAGCCAGCATTAATATGTTGTAAGGGAAGTGCCAGAGAGGTAGAGATACAGGTCCTGCATACTGGCGAAGAAGGAGAGAGGTTTTAGTGCGGTAAGAATCCCACAGTACCATGACTCCACCCATGGTTCTTATGTAAGGTTTCCTCTCCTCTACAAAAAAAAGTGTTGTCTTAGACGTAAGAAGACGAACCGAATACAGAAGAATTTTCTGGGAACTAATGTTGGGGTGTTGATAAAAAAAAGGTAACATGTGTACAATTTTATTTTGTTAGAATGGTTGGCCACAACAACGTAAATACTGTTCGTCATGTGTCATCTGATATTTTTTTATATAGATGTTTACCTACGATTACATTGTTACTTTTATTTATTTTTTACAAACTAGAATTATTTAGAATTATTCTGATAGTGATCACTTGATACTATCTCCACTTTAAAAATTAATGTGTTGAATTAATTACAAATAATATTTACTAGATAAAAACTTCCAAAAAAAATATGTCAATTTGCAATTAGTACTAGCTTAAATAATATCTATATCTTTCACTAGGATGAAAATAGAAATACAGTCGATTCCGCTTAATCGGGACACATTGAGTATCCCGCTTAAGCGCTTGGCCAAATTATCCGAAGTTCCACCAAAATTACTGAATTAGTGTTTTTTTATTTAATAAATTGCACAAAAAATTAAACAATTGTAAACGTACTACATAATAAAATGATATAAATTCTGTAACAATAAATATGTATGTATCAGGCACGGTGGATGCGGCTCAAGCACAGCATCCATGCGCATGGGGCGCAATAGAACATCCTTAGATCTGGCCACGGGGATTCACACATGATTACTGTCCCGATTAAACGGAATATTTACAGAAAAAGTGAAGTTTGTGTTATTTCCTTAGATGTGTTTCTGTTCTTTAGGATTTGTCCGTAATAAGCTGATGTCCCAATTAAGCGGAATCGACTGTATTATCTTGTAAATGAAAATGTTTAAGATTATTGAGTGTCAACTCATCGATCATCATTATAATTAAAATATCTAAATATAGCGATAGCAGGAATAGTGCGAGTACTTGTTTGAATTATCATCATTCATATTATATTAAAATAAATTAGGTAGCAGTGTATATTTTAATTATTTTTTGTCATTAATTAGTTTGTTTTGATATTTTCAAAACCGGACTGTTATTTTTTTACTTTAAGCAAAAACAAGTAATATTACATAATTTCATATTTAATTCTGTTATAAATAATTTATAAACATAATCGTTTCATTCGACGTAAAACATGTGCAAGTGCACACTTTCCATTGCATCATATAAATTTTATAAAAATAACTTCGTTAATTATATTTATTTCACAAGTAAAAAAATAAATTTAAACATTTTCTCACATAACAATAATAAAAAAAATGATTGTCTACTGAAAAGGTCTATTCCTCGTTTTACATGGTAGATAGGTTCCTGAGAAAAACGTTTAATTTTAACATTTATTTATTAATTTCAATTTTATTTAAACGGTGTAAAAACGAAAGCATGTAAATAAAGTATTGCGTAAAACGAGGGATAGATTATTTTAAGCATTTTTTTTAACCGTGTAAATGAAACCGTGTAAAACGAGGGATCCTTGAATATTTAAAATGTAATTGTCTTCCTCCCAAATTGCAAATCACGTTTTTTGAATGATAATAATATTGAATTCTGCAAATATCGAAAAGGATCTTCGGAATAATTCAGCGAAATAATTCGAAATTTTAACATTTTTGTCTTTCGGCATTGCAATTTCATATCTTCATCAAAATTTATTGTCTTTTTGTATAAGTCTTGATTACAATGATGATCACCATCATTAGAAATGATTTCATTGTCTTCGAACTGGTTTTGTTACAATTGTTATGAAGAAAATTGTTAATTTTGGTATTTTAGTTAAGTACTCTTGTTGTCTTTCTTTCATTTTGACCTTTTAAATTTTTGGAAAATTAATAAATTATGTTTATTATTAAATGTGGTCAATAGGCCTTTGTATGAAGAAAATCTCATTATTCTAGTGTGTGCTAGATATTAAACGATTATAAATTATTTTTTAGTTTATAGTTTACAAACATGGTAACAATCTATATAAATTTAAATAAACAAGAAAATTAGGTATATAATGTCTTCTTATTTAATTTACAAAAAAAACTTGCAAATAATATTTCCCTACCTAATGCTTGTTGGGTTGCCCACTTTCATTAAAAACTAATTAAGTGGGCAACCCAACAAGCATTAGATATCAAACAATGTTAAAGTCTTCTGGTTGCTTCAGACAGGGGGGGCGTTTCACAGGATACTTCAGAATATTCAGAGATAGTTATCAGCAGTGTTTGCTAATAGTCTCATAGTCTCGAACTGTTGTAATATATAACATATTTGGAATCGCTGGTGTAAACTGATTGAGAACCATTAGCTAACATCAAACTGACATAAACACCGTAAACATAACCTAGAAGCAACATCAAACATTTATAAAGTTAGTGTTTTTTGATGTAAATAAAAGTTGAGGAATAAGCCAAAATGTCTATTGAAATTGAATCAGCAGAGTAAGTATTATAAATGAAACAAATAGAATAGTAGTTAACACATAGTAAATCTTTGTTTTAGTGTAATTCGACTCATCCAACAATACCTGAAAGAATCTAATCTCCACAAAACTCTTCAAACTCTGCAGGTAATTAATAAATTAGATATATTAATGAAGGTATAGCTTTCGATAAGTTGTAGCTAATAGAATTTGTTATTGTAGGAAGAGACTGGGGTTTCATTGAATACCGTTGATAGTGTGGATGGTTTCTGCTCTGACATCAACAATGGACATTGGGACACTGTGCTGAAGGCAATCCAGTCATTGAAATTGCCTGACAAAAAGTTGATAGATCTATATGAACAAGTGAGTGATGCAATAGTGAGTTGTATTAATTAATTGCCTTGTAGATTGTTTTAGAGTTGATTGAGTTGAGGGAATTGGGTGCTGCTCGATCCCTGCTCAGACAAACAGATCCTATGATTATGTTGAAGCAAAATGAACCTGAGAGATATATTCATTTAGGTAAGGATTTAATTATTTTATTATTGAATTTATATACTGATTATTGTTTTTTAGAGAATTTATTGGCTAGATCATATTTTGATCCTAGAGAGGCATACCCT